GGGAGAGGCGGGTGAACTGTACGGTTTCGATGCTCTGAATGTGCTTTGTCATGCTCCACTTTGCGGAACCGTTGAGCGGCTCCACTGCAGCTCCCTCTGGTACGGAAACGCCAGGTAAAAACTATGGCAGCTCTCTGGTACGGGGAAGTCGGGAGGAAAAGTGTCAGCTCGCTGAACCCAGTAAACTCAATCGACGTCCTTCCCACGGATCAACAGGTTCTGTCTAGTGCTTGCTTATGTGCTTAAGAAACGGGAAATGAAAGTCTCAGAGACAGAGGAAGAGGGAACGCTTAACTGAATTGAATGGTTTCTTCTTTTGCCTACGACGATTCAACCGAACGGTGAACTTATCAGATGAGTGTGAAACCTGGGGAAAATGAGGGATTACTGTTATGATGGGGGAAATGAGTGTTTGCTGTTATGATGGGGTGAATGAGCGATCACTGTTATGCATATTATTATATTAGTATATTATTTTTTCATGAGCGAATAATGAATACACCATTGCACATGACCTTTCAGCAAAACCATTTCACAATAACATTTCGCACAATTACATGTTTCACTTCAATTATTAACAGTCGCCCGTACTTCATCCTTTTTTTGTTGTATGTTTAACTGTGGATTGCTCCGCTTTATTAGTGGGGGGAGGGACTTCCTCTTCTAACACATCTTTCTCTGTGCATGCATTTCATCTCGCTTCCTTCATTTGGCAGGGAATGAATGGTCCGCCGTCTTTCAGATCGCGAGCGACGACCAGCAGAAGGTAATCAAATAATAACGGCGCCGTGACTGTGCCAGCTGGGCTGCATTGATTATAAGGTTTTATCGTGATCCAGCGAGTGCGGCGGTCAGTCGTAAACCTTTACCCGCTCGACAAAGTCGTTATTCACTGACATTGTGATGATAACAGACCTTCTTTCCTCCTCTTCCCTCCCTCTCCCTTCCCCTCCCGATCTCTCGCTTCTCTCCTGGTAACCAGGCCTTTCTAAGACAGTGCTGGTTTGTACCCATATATCTATCTTATGTTAACCGTTGATTAATTACGTTTAAACAATCCTTACTACGCCGTTGATTGATTGACTAATAACTTTGATTGACTGGCTAATTATAGCTGTAATTGTTTGGCTATTTATAGTAGCATTGATCAATTGGGTAGTTATAACATTGATTGAGTGGCTAATTACAGCATTGATTCGTTGGCTATAATTATACCACTGATTGATTGGCTAATTATACCACTGATTGATTGTCAATCGCGATTTTGTTTGATTGGCTAGTATTATAACATTAATTGGCAAAATTATAGCATTGATGATTGGCGAATTTATAGCATCGAGTGGCTCTTTATAGCATTGATTGTCAATCGCCGAGGGCCCGACGGACTTCCAATCCTTGCTCCCAAGTTATCTGTGCGTTCGAAACGGATGTTGGGAGTGGCGTCCGGAAGGACTCTCTCCCACATTCCCGCCATCTCTCAGCGTGCTTGCCATTTCCGTCCAGCGCATGCGCTAAGTTACAGAGCTGCTCTCCGAGGCCCATTGTCTGGATCCCGCTTGTCCCTTATCCATGGGCCCATTGGGTCTGGGACTCGCTGTTATCGCAGAAGAAGTATTGCTTGTCCCATCCCCATTGTTGTCGAGGACTTGTCTTCCAGCCCTTCCCCTTGTCAACCGCTTGCGAAGAGAGTGACGTCATCAGGTTCTTCTTCGGGTGGGCGCTGCTCCATCACCGGTGCGGTTTGCTCGCGATCGGGATCTGCAGCCGGATCTGGATGCGTTTTTCCCGGAGCGAAGGAGTTGTCGCTGTCGTTTTGTGCCCTCCCAAGCCCGGGTTTTGACACCGCTTTTCTCTCGTCGGTGCAATATAGAACTAACCGATTGGGAAGGGGGAGAAGATTCTCTCCCCCATCTCCCTCTCCCTTTCCCTCTCCCTCCCCAATCAGGCTGCCGCTTACAACTAGCACTACTGCTACGGGTAGTCGAAGGGGGGCTACTACGGGTAGGAGCGAGGCGGAGAGTGGGTGGCGGCGCGAAGAAGGAGGGCCATCATCAACGACCACAGTGGGAGGGCATTCGAAGGCGAAGGAGGGCGAAGATATGGCGGCGATGGCGGTGAGCGCTTGCTGGCCAGACACCAGCTTGCCCGTCGAGCCAGATGTGGCTTTGCTGGAATCTTTTGCTGCAGTTGCTAGCATTGAGAGGGCGTGGATCGTGAAACCTCGCGCCGGCGGTCTGGACATCATCTTGGCCATGAGTCAACGCAATCTGTTGGCCAATGCCGTCCGCCGCTTCGTCTCGACCGTCAGATTAGCCGACTCGGCAACGGAGAGGCTACCGAGCCAGTGGTCACCCTTCCCGCTCGAGACAAGCGGGGTCACTCTGCTCTCTCCTTCTCCCTCTGGGCAGCGGATGCTGCTCGTTAGAAACGGGCAACAGCCGCATGGCAGCAACCCTAAAGACGGGCCCCCTCCAGTGAAATTTGAGGTATGGGGGCGGGGTCATCTGGTAAAGGAGGTCTTGATTCCTTCCTCGATGCACCGGGCAGTGTACACAGACGGATGGTTCGAGTCGGTATCCTGGAGTCCCGACGAGAGCCGGATTGCATACGTGGCAGAGGAACCGGCGCCGCCACGTCCTGTTTTCGGGCGCAGGATGGCCAACGGTCGGGACGGCACGTTGTCTCCCACGTCCGGCGGTGCAGGCATGGGCACGGCGACGGCGTCGAGCGGAGAAGCTGGGGGAAGGGGCGGACGAGGCGGAATGGCGGTGGGCAGCAGCGGAACGGCCTCGGGGACCAACGATGTCGGGACCTGGAAGGGGCACGGGGATTGGGTGGAGGACTGGGGAGAGAGGTACACTGGGAAGGGCCGACCAGTGCTCTTTGTCTTCGACATTGACAGCTGTCGCGTGCAGAGGGTGGAGGGCATTCCCCCCAGTGTCAGCGCTGGGCAGGTCGTGTGGGCACCGACCTCCCTCGAATCCCGCGGCGCCGGGGATGCGCCCGCCGTCGCCGGCGCGAAACCATTTTCCCCGCCACCCACGGCGGGGGCGCCGCCGGCGACGCTGGTGTTCGTCGGCTGGAGCTCCACGGCGACCAACTTTAACCACACCTGCAAGAAGCTGGGGATGGTTTATTGCTACAACAGGCCAAGTGCCCTGTTCGCTGTCCCTGCGCCGTCTTTTGCCACCACCTCAGAAGAGGCGTCGAGAGCAGCTGCTGGCGGGGGAGGCGGCGGCGGCGGCGGCGAGGAAAGAGCAGCAGCACGACCGGGGGGGGCAGGGGAGGGTGATGTGCGCCCCCAGGCCGTCAAACTGACCAAGGACATTAGCAGCGCTTTCTCACCCAGGTTCAGCCCCGACGGGAGGATCTTAGCGTTCCTATCGTCGCACGCTGCCGTCGACACAGGCTTGCACGGGGGGACAGCCTCTCTGCACGTTCTGGAGTGGCCATTTGGCGGCGGTTTCCACGTAGATGAAGAGGGCGCAGCGATACAGGTACCTATGCGAACGGTGGTAGACGTTGTCGGACGTGCCAGCTCACCTGGCAGCTTTCCCGGCCTCTACTCGAGCGGGTTCATCAAGAACCCCTGGCTTTCCGATGGGAGGACACTTGTCGTGAACACGACTTGGAGAAGCACTCAGGCGATTATCACCGTCCACGTGGAGTCGGGATTGGTTCAGCGGATCACCCCGGGACCCCAATCGTACAACCTTCTCGATGTGAGAGATGACCTAATTGTTGCCTCTGTGAGTGCACCCAATCGGCCACCTCTCCTGACCATCGCCCAGACCAGCCGGGACAGCTCTGTCGTGTTGTGGAAAGAGGTGCCCTTTCCCCAAATGGAATACCCTCGCGACGTAGAAGCGGCGCTGAAGGCTATTCGCTACGAGATACTGCAAGTGCCTGTCCCTGTAATCGAGGGGAGCGAGCGTCTATCCCCCGGTGCAGCAGAGCCTTTCGAAGCCATGCTCTTGTACAAAGCAGATATGGGAGGAGGAGTAGGAGGGCAGCAGGAACCGGCAGCAGCTCCTCCGAGCCCACCTCGTCCGCTCATTCTCGTACCCCATGGTGGTCCCCACTCCGTGTTCATCACTTCGTATGCTATGGCTCATGCCTACTTATGTGCTATGGGTTATGCTGTCCTTGCTGTGAATTATAGAGGTTCCTTAGGGTTTGGAGAAGAAGCAATCCAGTCGCTGCCAGGGAATGTCGGTCGACAAGATGTTGCAGACATGCTGCAAGCTTTGGGCTTTGCGATTCAACATTGCAATATGCTTGATCGGACACGTGTCGCCATCATCGGCGGCTCCCATGGCGGCTTCCTTGCCGCTCACCTGATAGGTCAAGCTCCCGACTTGTTCCGCACCGCGGTGCTCAGAAACCCTGTCTGCAATGTGTCCAGCATGGTCGGGATAACGGACATACCTGATTGGTGTTTTACAGAGGCAATGGGGGGTGTGCGGGGACCCAGTGCCTACTCGGAGATCCCCAGAGTGGAAGACTTGCAGACTTTCTACAGAATCTCGCCGGCTGCCCATATAGACAAGGTAAAGGTGCCAACTTTGTTTCTCTTAGGCAAGGAGGATCGCAGAGTACCGATGTCCAATGCCCTGCAGTATGTGCACGCTCTGCGCAGCAGGGGTCTGGAGGCAAGAGTTGTGGTTTTCCCCGAGGACAACCATGCGCTTGACAAGCCACAAACGGAGTTCGAAACCTGGGTTACCGTTGCGAGTTGGCTAAGACAGCACCTATGACGAGCCTATCAGGCGGGCGGAGAGACAAAGGCGGTTTAATTAGCGATGACGTTGTTTGGGCGGTCAGCTGAAACCTATTGGCCACAGACTTGTGTTTGCCATGTGAGGGCTCACTCAGTCTGCGTGCACTTGTGTTTGCCAAGTGACATCGAAGTCTGCCTTGTAAGAGGCGGCAAGAGGGATGGGGGATGGATGGAGAGACGTGCTGCACAAACACTCCCTCAATTATGTAGGTGTGTTCCCTAGCCGTGTGTGTGATCCATAACACAGTGCCACTCTGTGTGTGTGTGTGTGTAAGAGAGAGAGAGAGAGAGAGAGAGAGAGAGAGAGAGAGAGAGAGAGAGAGAGAGAGAGAGAGAGAGAGATTTGGCTCATTGAGTGATTCAATGGGGTGAGGAGTTAGGAAGTATGAGTCTCGCAGTTAGAAGACAGTTTTTTTTAAAGTTTTTTTAAATATTCTCAGCATGATTGAAAGTTATTAGTCTTGCGGTTCTCGAGAAGCACATCATCAGCAGACAGCGTTTGTTTTGACAGCAGCACCATTCAATTTGACATGTTTTTTGTTGCCTTGTTTTGTTTCTGTGTGTGTCTGCGCATGTGTTGTCAAGTATTCACAATTAGATGAACACACTTCTGACGACGTAAGATGTGGACAAGGGGTAACAAATTCGCCAATTTGTTGTTCAGGTCACAAATTCACCTAAACAACTTCACGCCAGTGAAGAAAGACACAGAGCAGCAAGGCAGAACATGCAGACATAGCCAATGACACAGAAAGGAATACAGGGTGTTCCACGTCTATATAGGATTAAGCATTTGGTGCCATACGCATCCGTTCTGCCATAATGGGAACACCTTAAAGTTTCTGAACCGAAGGCTCACAAAAATACGACTGATATCAAGAGAGAAAGACAAACCATACAATCAAAAACAGACATGTCAAGCCGGTTGTGGCAGCCACAACCACAGATGAGAGAAGTAAGATTAGGGTATAGTCCGTCTATAGTCTGTGAAAGCAATCCATCCGATCAATAGGCACTGTTCCGATTGACACCGAAGACAGGTAAGGGATGCAATCTGGCTTCAAGGAGGTCAGGACACATCCCTTACAATGGAAGTAAGGGATGCAATCTGACTTCAAGGAGGTCAGGGATGCAATCTGACTTCAAGGGCCTGGTCAGGGATGCAATCTGACTATAAGGAGGTCAACCCTTATGGTAATGTTGCTAAAGGTAAAAAGTCGTGGAATAAAAGGGCAACAGCGATTTCTAGGGGCAGATGTCGCCATCAGGATTAACCAAATAGAGAGAGGGTGACGCATGTGAGTACAAACTATTCCATGAATGCACTCCGGGTGCAACTCATGGCATGTGTAATGTGCATGCATGCATTCATGCGGTGTGTATGTGTGCTTTTTGTTGGCTAAGCCCAACTCCAGACAACAGATGGTGATGCTGAGAGACTGTTTCGTTGGATTTCACCATCTCATCAGGAGCTTCAACTCCGAGAGTCTGTCGAGGATACATTTGACTGATGGACAGGAACTCACCACACTTCTCCAAAGTCAGCAAGAGTAGAACCCTGCAATCCTAGCAGGTTGTCCAGTTCGAACCCCTGATAATAACGGCAGTGAATGTTGCCATGTTCGCTATACGCAACTCTACAGAACAAGCATGACTGTGCTGGACTGTGTGTGTGTTACATACTTCAATGAGTATGGGCAGAACCAAAGATCAACCAATATAGGATGAGCATTTATGCAGCGGAAGTCTGATAACGAACTGACTCACATAGACTGACTTACATAGACTGACCTACATGGCATCACTCCACACACATACAATCATGAGATGGTGGGG